GCAATATGAAAAAAAAAAAAAAAAAATATATATATATACATATATATATATACATACACACATTTTTTTTTTTTTTTTTTTGGTAGTGTGACCAGTCAGTATCCCCGATCACCGCCACACCAGTTATAGGATAACGCTGTACTGCATTGGTGACAGTATGTTAAAATAAAATAAAAAAAAAAAAAAAAAAAAAGTGAAAATAATTTTTTAAAATTTCCAAAAAATGACAACAAAAATTACTTCAAAAAACTTGCCATGCCTCTTATGAAATACGTTGGACTGTCTACTTTGCAAAAAGGGGTTATTTGGGGGATTAACTGTACTGTTTTGACAGTTTTGGGCCTAAAGAAATTACATTTTCAGGATTGATCAATTTTCAGATATATCCCATAGTTTGTGAACTCTAACTTTATTACAGACTAAATAAATACTGATTTGGGTTATTTTCATCAAAGAAATGTAGCAGAATACATCTTGGCCTAAATTTATGAAGAATTATTCTTTATTGCAAAACTTTTATAACAACGATAAAAACGTGGGTTTTTTTTTTTTTTTTTTACACATTTTAATTTTTGTTAATGTAGCAAAAAATAAAAACCCCAGTGGTGATTAAATACCACCAAAAAAAAAAAAGCTCTAGTTGTGTGAACAAAAACAAAAATTTAGTTTGAATGACAATTGCGCGGTCATGCAACACTGTACCCAAAGTGTGAGAGTTGAAACCTGAAAATTGGCCTGGGCAGGAAGGGGGTAAAAGTGCCTGGTATTGAAGTGGTTAAAAGCCCAAGTCCTTAAAGTTTGGATAGCAGGAGATCCAGTTATACTCTTTATGAACACTGCAGGAAATTTGCAGTACACAGACTCCAGGGCACCAACTTTGGACTGCATATAGTAAAAATTAAAGTACTCATGTGCAAATATTTCACATTTATCAGATTAAAAGGAAAACTTTTTTTTTTTTTTTTTTTTTTTTTTTTTTAAGCGATCCCTGTGAATTCCTACCCTGCAACAACGTGGCCATGCAACGAAGATTACCTGTACCATTGCCTACTTAGTAGCAAAACTGAATACTGATGTGATCAAGAAATGGACAGTATCAAGTAAAATTAGTTTATTTCATTAAGCTCGGGTTCACACTATGCCGTGCGAGACACCACATGTAATTCGCACAGGAATTGCACCACATTCCTGTGCAAATGTCTGTGCGGTTTGAATCATACATTTTGTATGGCTCAATTTGCATCCACACCAAAAAGATGAAGGATCCTTTTTAAAATCTGCACCCGAATCGCAACACGTGGATGTTCTCACATACGATTTCTGTCGCATCGCGTTTTGCGATCTGTTTTGGGGTATCAATTTATCATTGACACCTGCACCAAATCGCATGAACGCGATTGCAATGCGGTGCGGGAAACGCACAGGATTCGCAGCATTTCCTGCACCACATTGGTGTGAACCAGGTCTCACTGTACTTCTGTGCAGCAACACAAGATACTTTTGTAACTGTTGCAGTGGTTACCTTGTTATAAAATCCATGTGCATATATTACAGTAGGAATGCACTTGTATCTTATGATTTTGGGATGCTAGTGACTTATACATGTTTGCAAGCGCTGATTGAATTTTTAATTTTATTTTTTTTTTTTAAAAAAAAGGTTCTCTTTGTCCCAGACATAAAAAATAAATAAATCCAAAAACACTACACATTCCTTTTAATAAATGTTACAATTCTTGAATGCCTTAAAACCCCTATTGCTACACTTTGGGAGTGCTAAACCCAGATATGTCAGAACTTCGCAAAACATATTCAGTCTCTACACACTTACTTTTCCATCTGTTTTGCTGTAGTTGAGATTAAGCTGCAAGCCCATTTTGGCCAATAAACAAGCTGCCCCAGAAGTTTCGTTAACTCGATATTCCCCTACTTCCGGTTGTTTAACTGGCACAGTGGTTGGTGAAGGAGATGGAGCACTGGTAGGAGAAATGTCTTCACTGCAGTGAAATTCTATATAAAAAAAAAATAAAATCAATGAAAAATAGGTCCAAATAAAGACTGGTAAACAGTATGCTGCCACAATATCAAACAAAGCAGTAAAGGAGAGGTCCATCTCAAACCAATATCTTACTACAGGGTGGACCCTGGCAGAGGGATATCTACTGTGCCTAGTTCTCTTCTGAGGTCATTACAAGAATTGTCATATTCCCTTTTATTACACATTCAGCAAGTAGAGTGTGACACCACTCTTGATAATGGCAGCACATCAGGTTTATGACAACGCTGTACCACACTGGGGACAGTATGTGTTAAAAAAAAAATAAAAAAAAAATCACAACTTCAAAAAAGTTGCCATACCACTTACTGAATACCTTGGACTGTCCACGTTCCAAAAAAGGGGTCATTTGGGGGATATTTGTACTGTCCTGGCATTTTCGGGCCTCAAGAAATGAGATTCATCTGATGAGGCCATCAGTACAATAGGAATAATCAGATTTTTAGATTTATACCAGTTTGTGGACTCTATAACCTTTCCCACAGACTAAAGCACCGCTTTGGGTTATTTTTACCAAATAAATGTAGCAGAATACATTTTGGCCTATTTTTATAAAGAAAGATTATTTATTTGCAACATTTAAACAGGAACAAAGAAAATGGTTTATTTTTTTCTTCAAAAATGTACGTTTTATATTTAACAAACAATACAAAAAACCCCAAACCCCATATAGTGTGATGTAATACCAAAATATAGCTCTATTTGTATGAAAAAGAAATGATAAAAATTTCATATGGGTACAGTGTTGCATAACCACGCAATTGTCATTCAAAGTGCGAATGAAAGATGAAAATTGGCCTGGGCAGCAAGCAGGTGAAAGTGCCCGGTATTGAAGTGGTTAATAATGCCCACCTGTCTCTGGCTTTCAAGACTGTCTAAATCGGGTGTCGGCAACCCGCGGCTCCAGAGCCGCATGCGGCTCTTTTTCACCTTTGCTGCGGCTCCGAAGCACACTGCCCACCAGGTGACAGGCAATAGGGTTGCCGTAGCTCAGTGGTCGGCAAGCCGCGGCTCTTTACACATTTTAATGCGGCTCTTCTGTGTGCCGGGCGCCCCTCCCTCCTCTCGGGCGGCCGCCCCAAAAGTCAGGACTCTGCAGCTAGCCCAGCAATGGGCAAACTACGGCCCGGCGGACCTTTTAATTCGCCCGCCCACTCTTGATAATGGCAAACATTGGCTGTCAGGATGTAGGCGGGGCAGCGTGACGAACTCCTCTCCTCTCACAGTCCGCCCTGAAGACCGGAACGGCGCGGGAACACGGCGAGAGAAACGCGCGGAGCAAAGGTAAGTGAATTGACACAATATGGGGAATGAATTACTATAGGGGGGATGAATTACTATAGGGGGGATGAATTACTATAGGGGGGATGAATTACTATATGGGGGATGAATTACTATATGGGGGATGTATTTTCAGTTTTAAAAATGTGGCTCTCAAAATAAATTTCAATCGTGGTTTTGGCGAGATTTGGCTCAGTTGAAAAAAAAAAGGTTGCCCACCACTGACCTAAGGCTATGATTGTGATTATGACGATACACTGTGGCCCTGATTAACCCTTTGCTTACTGGGCCCTTAAACCCCCTTCATGCCCCTTCATGACCAGGGTAGCGCTTTTTGCAATATATGCAGTGTCGGATTTGTTTTAAATGTTGCAATGGTTTTGCGGCTCCCAGTCTTTTTTCCCTTCGAAACGGGTCCAAGTGGCTCTTTATGTCTTAAAGGTTGCAGACCCCTGATCTAAATCATGGAGAAAGAACAAACATGCATCCTTATCTCTATGCTTTTTCCACATAAGAATGTAAAACAGCCAGGAAATCATCATTTGCCAGGTAAGGAACATTTTTAGAACGTGAGCTCTGCAATGAGGTTGCCTTTTATTTTTCACAGATCTTGCAGTTAATAGCAGTGAGTCAGCTTGATGGGAGGAAGATAAAAAAGGATTTCTGACTTGCCAATAAAATCCATTTCTTAGTGTATGGTACAGGACACGGGATCTTCAATTTTTAAACATAGATTAGCTACTTTAAAACCACTTGCCTACTAGGCACTTTCACCCCTTTCTGCCCAGGCCAATTTTCCGCTTTCAGTGCTGTCGCACTTTGACAATTGCGCGGCCATGCAACACTGTACTCATATGAAATTTTTATCTTTTTTTGGAGACAGAGCTTTCTTTTGGTGGTATTCAATCACCTCTGGGTTTTTTCTTCATAAACTAAAAAATAAAAAAAAAAAATAAAAGAAAAAAAAAAAAAAGTTTTAGTTTCGGTTATAAAATGTTTTTAAAAAGTAATTTTTCTCCTTCACTGATGTACGCTAATGAGTCTGCAGTGATGGGCATTGACAGACATCACTGATGGGCACTGAAAGGCAGCACTCATATGGCACTGATAAGAACTGTTAGGTGGCATTGAAAGGCAGCTCAGATGGGCACTGGTATGTGGCACTGATTGGGCTACACTGATCATCATGGCATTGATAATCACTGCCCTGATGATCTGTGTAGCTGTCCCCTCTGAGGAATGCCGCTTACCAACTCTCCTCCCCAGCTGTCAGCGCGAGGAGAGGAATGCCGATAACCGGCATTTCGTTGTTTATATGCGATCAGCTGTGATTGGACACAGCTGATCACGAGAGAAACAACATCATCTGCTCTTTGCGCTGATCGGTGAACCTCTGTGTATCATGGACACAGCACACCACCAAACGCCGTGCATGCGAAGTTAGAGTGGGAGTACGTCATATTACGAGAGAACCGCCGCCCATCCGTCATTTCCATATATGGTGGGCGGGAGGCAGTTAAGGTGATTGGACACTGGAAGGATAGAAAGCATCACGTACATCCCCAATATACCCCACTCCTACTTCCAACTAGCCTCTGCTTTGTATAAAACCATAAGGAGACCAAAAAGAATAGGGAGAAGGGCCTGTGCCCTGTGCTGTACTCCAAGAAATACATTTTTTAAAAATCTAGAACTCAATTTACTGGTAATTTTATTCCAGTATTCTTCCAGAAACTGGAAACACATCAAAAGACACTATAAAACGGGCGGCTTTTAACTTTCCTTGTCCACATTGAAAGAGGAGGAATTGTCTTGGGCCACACATAAAATACACTAACAAGAAGGTAAGCTGATGAGCAGAAAATCAGGCAAATCACAAGTTAATGATCACAAATATAAATAATGTACCCAAGTAATAAAATTTTTTTAAAGTATTTTATATTATAAAAGTAAAAAAGAGGGCAACAAAACTAGTGTGATATTTGACACCTCAATATCTGGTTTGATAGCAGTAGTAGCAATTCTCAAAAAGGTACTCATCAGATACTTTGGTTCTAATTTTGCCCTCCATGTGCTTCATACTTGAAAATAGCTGCTCACAAAATATAGGTGCTCCTGAAAACTGATATGAAATAAAGTCATGATTGTGAAGTGTGGGGTATTTTTCTTTGGAAAGATAAAACTTATAAAAGACCAGTAAAAAGACTGTCAAATTTTTCTTCAGCTGCATGTGTTCACTAAGCATAAACATTTTTATCAAAAAGTACCCCTCTCACCAAAAAAAAAAAAAAAAAAAAAAAAAAAAAAAACATTAAGTAAATTTACGGTTTTGTGTTGGGATGTTGTAGCCCCATGGGCCACAAGTTGAGCACCACTGTTTTAACAAGGAAGTCATTCTGCCAAACTGGTCAGTATTCCACAAGAACCAAAGTAGTAACTTGAAGCCAAAATTAAAAAAAAAAAAAAAAAAAAAAAAAAAAATCAGAAAGGGTGGGAAACATGCTGTCCTGGAAATAGTCACCAGTAAATTTAATTCTGAAATTCCCAAATTGGGGATGAGAATTTAACAGGTTAGGGAGGGGGAAAGAAGCCATGAAAACTCTTCTCATTTTGCTAACTATAAGAACAGATATGGTGGACCTGGACATATGAACCTCTCAAGAGTGAAAAAAAAAAATAAGAGCAGAACCTAACTGCAGGGAAAGTCCATGCCATACTAGGAAAACTGAGAACTACCAAACGCCCCCGATTAACCTTGTATGAAGGTACACAGGATCAACTCAAAAGAAAAATATATTCAAATAATGAGGAGACCCAAGCCTACTAAAGACCTGGTCATCTAAGGACATACACAAGTTGACTGTATAGGTCAAAGTGAAAGGGCAATTTAGCAATTCACGAAGCCATCTACTTGGGTAAGTTAATACATACAGCTATGAGCATATAACCTACATAGCCCAAGGGATATACGCTGCTCCAAAAAATTAAAGGAACACTTTGAAAACATATCAGATCTCAATGGGGAAAAATATCATTCTGGATATCTATACTGATATGGACTTGGTAGTGTGTTAGGAACATAAGGATGCCCCATTGTTTGAATTCAGTCCTCTGTAGGTTGATCATTTTTATTTCCCTCAAAGACATCCAGAAAATTAAAGTGAAAAAATGATGCAGCAGGCTAATCCATTTTGCTGAAATTTCATTGCAGCAAGCCAAAATGGTACTCAGTAGTTGGTATGGCCCCCCCCACGTGCTTGTATGCATGCCTGACAACCTCAGGGCATGCTCCTAATGAGATGTTGGATGGTGTCATGGGGTATTTCCTCCCAGATCTGGACCAGGGCATCACTGAGCTCCTGGACTGTCTGAGGTGCAACCTGGCAGCATCGGATGGACCAAAACATGATATACCATAGGTGTTCTATTGGATTTAGGTCAGGTGAGCGTGGCACCAATTCAATGGTATCAACTCCTTCATCCTCCAGGAACTGCCTGCATACTCTCGCCACATGAGGCTGGGCATTGTTGTGCACCAAGAGGAACCCAGGACTCACTGCACCAACGTAGGGTCTGACAATGGGTCCACGGATTTCATCCCGATACCCAATGCAATGGCAGTCAGGGTGCCATTGTCTAGCCTGTAAAGGTCTGTGCATCCTTCCATGGATATGCCTCCGCAGACCATCACTGACCCACCACCAAAATGGTCATGTTGAACAATGTGACAGACAGCATAATGTTCTCCATGCCTTCTCCAGACCCTTCACATCTGTCCCGTGCTCAGGGTGAACCTGCTCTCATCTATGAAAAGCACAGAGAGCCAGTGGCAGACCTGACAATTCTGGTATTCAATGGCAAATGCCAATCGAGCTCTATGGTGCCAGGAAGTGAGCACAGGGCCTACTAGAGGACGTCAGGCCCTCAAGATACCCTCACGAAGTCTGTTTCTGATTGTTTGGTCAGAGACATTCACAGCAGTGGCCTGCTGGAGGTCATTTTGTAGGGCTCTGGCAGTTCTCATCCTGTTCCTCCTTGCACAAAGGAGCAGATATCAGTCCTGCTGCTGAGTTAAGGACCTTCTACGAGTAACTGCCCGTCTCCTGGAAACTGCTCACCCCCAAAGAGAATGCATGGCAGAAGCATCCCTATGACTCTTTTAACACAAACAATAAGTCCTGCAAAAATAGGCTTTTTTTTTTTTTTTTTTTAGAAAAGCTGAAAACTGAAACAGCTATGTGACAAAGAAGTCTAAAGCTTCACCTGATAACAGATTAATCAATATTCATACAAAATAGTTCATGCATATATAGTAGTAAAATGTATAACAAATTCATTAAACAGTAAACTATAGGACAGCACAGTGGAATATTCCTACCATCTTTACTGTACGTGTTATTGTTCACATATGCTTCCAACTTGACAGCATAAAATGTTAGGTTGACGTTTCCCAAACTGAGAAAATGTGGGCTGATACAACGATACACAGTGTTTGTTTTGGCAAATATTGCACTTTTATTTGTAGCTACTGCCTTAGTTCCTGAAATACAAGACGAAAATGAGATATAGTCATGTGATATGTATATAAATTAACGTACTGCTACAACTTGGCATAAACAAAAAATAACTCACCATTTTCAGATGCTTTAGGGAAAAGAGTTTTGTCAGAAAGATTGTATGTAAACACCAGCTCATCAACTTGATACCCTGCTTCATTCTTGGTGAAGTTTGCGCTGAGGGAATGATTTCCAAACACAATTACTAGAAGTGGTGCTACTTTTTCTTGGCCACAAGTGCTGTTTGCACCCACAGTCGAACTGACTGGTAATCCAAAGAAAGCTTTCTCCTACAGAAATCAGAAAAAGTAATTAGTTAAATGATTTTTTAAATTATGTAGCATTTACTTTGTTCTAGCAATTATAAGACTGAAGAAAGAGTGGCTAAGTGACAACTTGTACCATATTTCTAAACATTACAAAAATGTCAAAACCTATAAATGAGATGACACTGTAAAAGAAAAAAAAAAAAAAAAAAAAAAAAAAAAAAAAAAAAGGAATCATATGTTAAGGACCCATTTACATTATCAGATTTCCATTGCCGACTCTTGGCAAGGAAGTCTATAAAAGTTAGAGAAGTCACTGGTAAGCAGCAAGACGTGGACTTGCCATACATGGATCAATTTTTTTTCGATCAGCCAGAGGGCTGATTGAAAAAAAAATAAACAGATTCACAAGCGAGGTAGATGGAGGAGTCCTCCCTGTTGTGTTACTGTATTCTGACAGCAGGGACTCCTCTCCATTATAACGCTGTAGCCAATTGGCTGCAGCAGTGACTGAAGGAAAATTTTCCAAAAAGCCAGTTTGAGAGAAGTCCATCATTAGATCAACTTCCCAGGAATGGGAATGACCAGAGAGAGATCAAACTTCGGTGACCCCTACAGAACCAGCCAAATTTTGTCTAGCTTTGAGTAACTAAAGCCAACTTTAGTCAAAAAATTAAGATGACTTCATGCTGGCCCCTTTAGCAGGTATAGCTATGTAAAGCATTAAAAACAAGTGCCAACAGTGTTTAAAATTCAAAAATGTGCTGTATCACCCTGCTCTGCACATGCTCAGTTGCTCTCTATTCTTGGCACTATGCCTAAAGTCAAAGCAACTAGAGGCCAATCATCTGACAGCTATAAGATTTACTGTGGCTGAAAGGGGAAAAAAAAAATCAACAGGAATGATTCACACTGTGCTGAGGGAACACAGATTAGGGAAAGAAAAGTAAAGCAGGAAAGGTAACAGGACAAGTTCTGCTGCCACAGAGACAGAGTATAAAAAGAGTGTCTTATCTCCTCCACATGCTTTCCTTTCTCCCTCATAAGCAGCCTGTGATCTTCAGCACTGGAAGGTTTTTTTTTTTCCTACCTCTAAACACAGAGCTTGAAGAACTACTCCAGGTTAAGAGAAAAAAAAAAAAGAAAAGAAAAAAAAAAAACCCACACGAACCACCCATTAGTACACAGTTAATACATTTGTGAATATCCTTACCATTGAAGAGAAATGTCTAAATGAAGTCATCTCTGTAATTCAAAAAATAACAGCATCTGCTCTGCCAAGGAGGAAGTGTAATAGCAGGGATTACATCATATCTTCTCCTCTCAGGAAACTACACTCCCCATCAGCCTTTGGGTATTGCAGTGAATGTGGGCAGGTACACTAGGCCTGTACATGTGTACTCACCCACTTCAACAGAAAACACACCCACACATTCCCCAGCTGCCACTGCTATCCTCACGTGATCACTTACCCTTCAGTCACAACAGAAATAGAAAACAATTGCTCTGACAGTCTGTTTTTAATCCCAGAATAAATATGGTCACATGTCCATAGTTCACTCTTTGATTATCTAATATTTTGGCCATGGCTTCTCTTTTTGGAACAATTATCTTAACGGTTTCTGCTTACACAGAATGAGTTTATCATGAGAGAGATGAACTTGTATGAACCTTCCCGAAATAATAGCATAGGTGAAGGCAGAATATTACTCCTCTAGACATTACCTGTTTGGTGCCAGCAGTGTATTCAACTGTGAAATTAACAGAGAGGTCGGCCATAATGCACGTTTTGTTAGCTGAATCTTTGACTACAAATGTAACACAGGAGGCAGACTGCAGAACACCTGTAAGGATCACAAGAGAAAACTGAAGTAAATAATCCCAACATATAGGCAGAAAGACAACATAACATTTACTTGGAAAGGACATGGCAAGAATTCCTCCAAGATTGTGGGCTAATAGATTAATTGATAATTCAAAGTCAAATAAGCTCATCTACCCTTCTCCGATTTAATTTCACTATAGCGAGACCATGACTTCATGCCCAAGCTCTTCCAACTGCGAAGTCACAGTTCCATGAGGGCAGATTTACCATGGTGCCACCCAACAACTTGCCCTTTACCAGTCATGTTAGGCAGGCACAAATGCACACCAAAAGTGACCTATTCAAGTGGTGTGGTGCTGCAACCACCCTCAATGCACATAGTTGCAGTGGTCTGGCATATTTAGGGGGTTAAAACAGGCAGCGAGGAAGCAACATATTGCCTCCTCACCACCTGTCAAAAGCATGAGAAATGCAATCTGAGTGTGAATCACTTTTCAGAAAAGCAGCAGTCTATGCTGCTAATGTGAACTATATGTCGCCTTAACACTGGATTTAAACTTGTTATGGCTCTTTTTCACTGGTGGCTGGAGGGGTGGTAAAAATCCAGTGTTTTACTACCCCCAGAATTCTAACATTACAGCTTAACAAGGCTGTACACACGCCGCGGCCCCGAAGCTTTGCAGCTGTGGTAATTTTTATTTGGGCTGCAGAGTTTGACAGACAGCATTGCCTGTCAAAGATGTCCATTGTGATCACTGCTTGCAGTTGCAGCAAGGAGACACAGTGAAAATATGCCATTCTGCAAAAAAATACACACAACATACATACCCCCAAAAAACAGGCAACAGGAGGTGGCAGTGGCGCCTTCTTTACATCTGCCAGCCACTGCTATACTGTTGGTAGAATGCTTTTCAAAGGGCGGTAAGCATTATCACAATAATGCCATGATGCTGTGTGGCTATAGCAAACATTAAACAGCATTTTGCATTCATTACTGCCGCAAAAAACATGACCAATGCAAGTCTATGGGGTCACGGTGCAGCATTTACCACGTAAATCAGGTTATAAGGAGGGGACAGAGAACATATCGCCTCCTCACTGCCTGTCAAAAGGCAAATTTTCAAGACATAGCAATGAGAGGGGCAAAGAAGGAACTTTGGACCAAAACGTTATTAGGTCATCTTATGAACTAGTTTTAACAAAGGTTTTTGTACATTAAAAATGTAAAGCGGCTATAGTTTTTGGTGCTTTGTAGCAAAGGTAGTCTGCTCGTTTTTAATTATAAAGCTTTCAGTTGTAAATACTGTTGGAAGGAAGAGTATTCCAACCCCCTCCACTTTTTTCAATTTCGTTATGTTGCAGCCTGATACTACAGTTGTTCACATTCATTTTTTTGTCTCATTAATCTATACTCAGTACCCCATAATGACAAAGTGAAACCAGAAATGACTGAATTTATTAAAAATAAAAAACTGAAATATCACATTGGCATAAGTATTTAGACCCTTGGCAACAACACTTGAAATATAGCTTAGGTGCCTTCAGTTTCTCTTGATTGTTGCAGAGATGTTGCTACACCTTAATTGGAGTCCATTTTGGTAAATTAAATTGATTGGACATGCTTTGGAAAGGCATACACCTCTTTATAAAAGGCCTTACAGCTGACAACGCACAGTGTAACAAGAGCAAAAGCCATGAGGTCAAAAGGAACTGCCTGCAGAGCTCAGAGACAGGCCTATTGCAGGGCACAGATCTGCCAAAAGCTTTAAAAAAAAAAAAAAAAAAAAAAAAAAAAAAAAAAAGAATTCTGCAGCACTGAAGGTTACCAAGAGCGGGGGGTCTGGGCTGTAAACTGAAAAAGATTAATTTTTAATATTCAAAGCAAACTCCCCCATCAATCCATGTCTCCATGCTTTAATTTTGCTGATAAATCATTCTGAAATACACCCCTTTATCATTTCTGGCAGTGGCTATCTTGAATAAGTGCAAATGATTCATGTAGCAATTACTTCCTGGAATCCATCTGCTCTTAGCTCAGGTATAGTCTGAGGTGAGAACCCTCCTCTCATGCAGACTGCTGGGATATATGACAATTTGTCTAGGCATGAAAACCAAAAAAGTTTAAACACAATATGATATACTTTCCTATTTACTAGTTCAAGCAGAATAAGGATTAAAAATAGTCCGTGTTGATTGAGAGAGTGATGTTCTGCTTTAAGAGAGGTGGACCAAGAAGCCAAGCTCCAGAAAAACATCCATCATTGCAGCCCTCCAATGATTTGGGCTTTATGGCAGTGACTAGATGGAAGACTCTCTGCAAAACACATAAAAGCACACTTGGAGTTTGCAAAAAGCTTTTGCAAACCCCAAGAGTGCTTTCATGTGTTTGGGACTGATGTCTAGGAGTAGTGGAAACAGCAGTTTTACAAATCTAATCCCTACTCCACTGGCAGCCAGGGCTCCCCTATTCTTCTTGCCAGTGGACTGTCCCTCAGCATCTTTGCATCATGTGCAAGGCTATGTGCCCTGCAGTGTTCTCTTTGCACTGTACTAGTAGAAGTTAAGAGGTCCCATGACTATCGGAGCGTAGGGGAAAAGAGGGTGCAGAGACAGGCTGCGGTAGTAGCGGATTAGGTAATCAACCTTCACTTCATTAACATGCTATTTATGGCCTTGGGGAAAAAAAAAAAAAAAAAAAAAAACACTAATCATTCTTTTCTTTGTAAATACTGTTTTGGTTTTGTTTCTCAGGAACAGAACAAAGTTTCATTTGTTACTTCACTTCAACAATGATGTAAGCATGTGACATGAATTCCCCAGGTAAACCGGTTTTCAAGAGTATGTAAGCGAGAACAACAAGCCGTAAAAAAATATTACACAACAATGTTGGACTGTGCAAGCAACTAGAAATTTAAAAGGATAGATTAAATCCTCCTGATAAAAAAAAGGTCTGAAGAAGAGGGGACTGAGTCAATTACATGACGTTCAGGTGTATCTGATAATTAAGTAAATTAACTTGTGAGCCACTGGAGTTTACAAATGAGTAAGTGTATTAGGTCGCTGGTTTACTTGCCCACCCTCATATATTATGCGCTCAGTATAAGATAATAAATGATTACCGCGCTCTAACACTATCATACCAATGGAAAGTGCATAATGCATGTGCAAAATCAAATATTGTATTAAAAATTATTAAATTATTAATTAGCAACTCATGATTTAATTTTCCTTAACAAATTAAATTGTGATCACACAAAGTGTCACCAAATGTGTAATACCCATGTAAAGTGTACAAAAATATAAGAAGTATAATCAATATAACAAATTTCAATATATAATCAATATACATAAAAAATAATAATCAATATATAAAATAAAAAAAAATAAAAAATCCAATGTGCAACTGTGCAAAAATAATAAAATGTGTTTCAACAAAAAATGTATATACTCTCCTTCCAATTAGTTTGTAGTAAGGTAGCTGAGATCTTGCAGCTTCTCTATGAGCCTGTGTAAGTATAAGGGTTTCTCCCTCCTTGGTCCACTCCTTACTCCAATTCTCTAAATATCCTCGTATAACCCATGCAAGAAAGGAAATGAGAAATATGGTGCCTTATCCAAGAGGTATAGAAATAACCTTTAATGTGCTCCCATATTGCACACACATTTAATCAGATAACAATGCGCTTTGTATAATCAATAGACCGCAAATGCGGTAAAGATCAGACTCGTGGGTGTGTTAACACACACCGTCAGTACTCGCCGCGTTGTTGGTCAGATGCGTGGTGACGTCAATGCCCCTCCACAGGGATTACGTAGCTTCTTCTGGGGGATGTAGTGTAGTGACACTGACGGTGTGTGTTAACACACCCACAAGTCTGATCTTTACCGCATGTGGCAGTCTATTGATTATACAAAGCGCATTGTTATCTGATTAAATGTGTGTGCAATATGGGAGCACATTAAAGGTTATTTCTATACCTCTTGGATAAGGCACCATATTTCTCATTTCCTTTCTTGCATGGGTTATACGAGGATATTTAGAGAATTGGAGTAAGGAGTGGACCAAGGAGGGAGAAACCCTTATACTTACACAGGCTCATAGAGAAGCTGCAAGATCTCAGCTACCTTACTACAAACTAATTGGAAGGAGAGTATATACATTTTTTGTTGGAACACATTTATTATTTTTGCACAGTTGCACATTGGACTTTATGAATTAATTTTTTTTTTTTATATATTATTATTTTTTATGTATATTGATTATATATTGAAATTTGTTATAATATATTGATTATACTTTTTGTATTATTATTATTATTTTTGTACACTTTACATGGGTATTACACATTTGGTGACACTTTGTGTGATCACAATTTCATTGTTAAGGAAAATTAAATCATGAGTTGCTAATTAATAATTTAATAATTTTTAATACAATATTTGATTTTGTTCAGGTGTATCTGCTATGCAATATATTCAGGTCTAAATTCAGAGAACAGCAGTAAATAAGAAATCTGAAACCCAGGACTGGCACAAAAAGGGTAAAAATTAAATATGTACTGAATATGCAGGCAATCACAATTGACTGCAGGCAGATGAAGCAATATGGTCATGGATACCAACATCCCTAAACCTATCAATTTTCAAATACTGACTTTTTTTTTTACAGTACTGAAAACAGTGTTGTACAAAATTCATTTTAACCACTTGATCTTTGGAAGGTTTTATCCCTTCATGACCAGGCATTTTTTTGCTATTCAGCACTGCTACTGCAATTGGTAATTGCTCTGTCATGCAACACTGTACCCAAATGAAATTGATATTATTTCACACAAATAAGATTTTGGTGGTAGTTGATCACCACTGAGTGTTTTTTTCTATTATATAAACTAAAGACTGAACATTCTGATAAAACATATTTATAAAAATTTCAGTCTTTCTTCATAAAATGTAGGCCAAAATGTATCCTGCTACATGTCTTTGGTTAAAACAAATCCCATTACGTGTATATTAATTGGT